GCTGCGCCGTGAGATGCACGCGCATATTACCCTCGTAATGCTCTTCATTCGGTTAGAGGGCCTTTTACGTCTTGACATTCAATTTTGTAGTGAATTTTGTCATCTAGTCGTTTTACAGTTTCTAAAGTGTCATTTCCCTGGATTATTTATTAACGATTTTTTTATTTGGATGTAAATTCTTGTACGTGCCGAGAAAAATGACACATTTTTACAGTGTAACGAAAAAATATTTGATTGATTACGTTGTACGTCTTAGCCTGTGATTACAGAATTACGGAATTTATTTTTTCTATTTACGTTGTACGAACAAAAAAATATTGCAATTACGTTGAACGAAAATAACCCTTGCACCCCCCCCCCCCCCCCGTTTGTATCAAGACTTCAAGTTCCATATTGCCTCACAGTCACTTGGGGGCTGAAAATGAATAAATACTATGTTTACACTGTAGAATTCATGTATAATCGAGGGAATCAAGTCACCTCAACCCGTAGCCAGTTCGGCCTGGATGATATTGTCCTACAGTGTTGTAAATTCTTGGTTTAAAGTGACGTACAGTGCGTAACTTCGAGGTCGAAGTGGCTACGGGGTCGCGGGGTCGAGGTGTCACGTATGCCAGAGAGGGCGCACATCGTATAAATGGTTTGCGCATGCTCAGTTACCACTTAGCAACGACGAGAACCAAAATAACGAGGTCCAACTCCAGAGATCCGTGGCGATTTTGGTGTTCTTTTCAATCAATCCGTCAACATTTATTTCTTTTCTTAACTCATAGGTAAGTGTTTTAACCATGCAGGCGATATGTATGGTTGACCTATTTTATTCCATGAAATACAGTTTCAGAACTCGTGTTTATGTACATCGATGGCAACTGCCAAATCCATCCCGAACATAGAAGTCTTGATTGATCGCGTGCACTGCTAAGTCAATGTCATGTAATTCAACGCGGTTTATTTGCCGAACCAACGACCGCCATGTACTATGTATACTGTAGAGTCATAGTCTAATTGCGTTCCGTGAGTTGAGCTCGAAACGACTGACAAAGCTGTGTACAATTATCGTGATTATGTGTTCCTTATTTTTGTTTTGAGCATGACCTCTTCTGTGACCTTAGTTAAAACCATCGCTACCACCGAGAGATCACCGATTCGATAGTTGAAACTAATTTATCTTAGTATTGGATGCTGTCTTTAAATGTAGCGAACGGGATCACGTTTTGTTGTATTGTGCCATGTGTGGAGTTTTCACTGTTTTCTTTACTATCGCAACAGTGAACTGTAATAATTATATCAGAAGTGTAGTATATTTCCTTTCATGTGTTCATGGAACTATAAACTATAGTTCCATGATGTGTTCTATCATTAGATTACAGTTATTTTAGTTAAGATATAGCTGTGAATAAATAAAAATATATATATAATAATAATAACAATCTCTGCTCTCAAGTAACTGTGGTGATCACTAACATAACATAGCTTAGGTACCAACAGGGGTAAAATGCATTAAAATTGATTTGTGATCCAGACATTTTCAAAAACTACTATGCTACTAAAACAACCTATATATCATCTGAAAGCTCAGATATAGGCAAATATGGTAGTGCATGAATTGTACCAATGTTTGGTGCTGTTGTGCTTTTTATTTACTATTCTGACTATTGAACAGTTGAACTCTGCCATAAGTTTACAGTATGGCAGTCAAGGCATAACTCAGTGATTTTTTTAAACAAGGAAACAGGGGTGCAGTGCCCTCATGCCATGGCCATGCCCCCCTTACCCTGGGAGCAGATCCTCTGGCAACCATAAAATTCTGAATGACCAGAGATCACATGTGGCCACAGTCTTCAAATTTCTACTGAAATCAAGTACAACGCAGCTCAGGGCTGCACATAATGTGTAAAGTACAGAGCAATAGTTGTAAACTCATAGTACCTCCTTGTCACACAATCTATGCGAACATCAGTTCGGGTCATGCATGATTAATCAAGTTAATGAAACATTGTTTTATTCACCATGCCATTTACTCTGTGTTAATTACTTATTTTACTTTTATTCACCCATTGCTATAAAAGGTCTAATAAAGGAATTAATTTGTCCTTGCTAATCAAAAATACATAGCTTCCATGCAAAAAATCCATTTATAGTCCCACCAAAATAACATACATGTTTGTTTATGACTTCAATGTTCAATTTGTTATCTTTGCAGCACTCTTGCATCTAATACAAAATGGGTCAGACCTTGGCTCGTGCTGCACAGTGGACCTCCGCCAGCGATGGCGGTGAGGGTAAACTGGAATTCACACCTATCAATGAGTCTATCCTAAACAG